TTTTTTTTGCTCTAACTTTTGCCTGGGTTGCCCTTTCGGGTTTTCGGCCCAGCGAGCCTCTCAAGGGTAAAAGTGTAGCTTTGTCCATGTCAAATGGTTCTGAGATCTCGAAGTCATCTGAATCCAGGAGAATGGCTGATGTTTACTGATGATGTAGGAGTCCATCCAGTGGGGGCTGAATTTGCCCCTAGTGTTGTGGATAGGAACTCAGTTGTCCTTTAGCACAAACTTTCTTCTTTCCTCCCTTCTGGGATTTGGCATTCTTGCCAGTCTTCATTGATTTGCAGAATGATCCATCTTCGGCTCTTCGAGCGCATTTGACATTTTTGCCCCTAGTTCAAGGGCTGCTTTTGATCTAGCTTCGCAAGCTTCCCTTGATCACATCTGATATTCTCGCCCCTAGTTTATGGGCTGCTTCTGATCCGGCCACACGGGCCTCACATTGTAGTTGACCGTTGAACATTCTGAATTCAAGTTCAAGGTTTGAAAGTGAGGGGTCGAGTCTCAAGGCTGAGAGCGATCCTAAGCTGCCCAATCTCAAGACCGATTCCACACAGGTCTTTGCAGGACCGCACAAAACATTTTTTGAAATCTTTTAAGAAAGCGACTAGTCGCTCGCACTGAAGACATTGCGGAACCAATCTGGATCAAGCCAGGATCCTTCTCAGTACTCACATTAACAAGCATGATCTCATTCATTAAGGGCTTAGCAAGCCTCTCTTTCTCTCAATTGATCAAATTTTTGCAAAACCTGAGGAATTCCTTCCCCTTTCTTTTCACCGCAGTGTTAGAATTTTTTTTGAAAAACTTAGGTCAATACAATGATTTCAAGGTACAGAAGAGCAGGCAAAAAGTACTGTCGTTTCATTCAAATTTTTTGGCACAACTGGCGTAAGGCAGAAGCAAACACAAGGGTGTGAAAATCGCTGCTATTTCATTCAGATCTGTTGGCACAACTGGCCCCCCGGCAGAAACAGACTCAAAAGAAAACTAAAGGACAAACACAAAACAAAATAGTGATATCCGAAGTAACACCCCAGAAATCACCCGCCTTCTGTACAACAGGATTGACTTGATACAACAAGACAGACCCTTAATCAAAAAGACTGACTCAAAACAAAGAGACAGACTCAAAACAAAACCACAGAACTAACTCAACACCCAAGTCAGAAGTTACAAAAACCAGTATTCGCAAATGCTCAAAACAATGCGTGCCATTCCCACGTCTGGAGTAAATCGAGCACCACCCGCAGCTGGTTCATCCCCCGATCACATCACATTATCCCCCACAAGTTCACTGATCAAGTGTCGATAGACTTTGCAGGACCTGGTGCGGCAATGACCCCGTTGTCAAACAGATCTTGTACATCATGGCGCAGACGAAAGCAACTGTCGGTACTGTGATCGGTTTGTTGATGGTATGCACAGTATTGGGTACCATCATGCTTAGCTGGAAGGGGACTTGGGAGAGTACGAGGCTCGAGGGGTTTGAGATGCCCTTTTTCGACGAGGATTTGAAGGGCCTTAGACAAAGGTATGTAGAGGGCATGGAAGACCCTGCGACCTCAGCGCGGATACTTCAAGGTTTGCTGACTTTTGCTGGACGCACTAGCGAAAGGGTCAGCAGGTGCTGGCTTGGTTTGTCGATCCCTTCCGAGTGCAGGATTAGAGGTCAAAGGATCGTTTCTGGTACGATGGCCCTTCTCCCGATTTTTCCCTTGGCTTGAACTGCTCTCACTCTGAGTGGGGAAAGTGTCATCCACAGTCTTAGCCACAACTACAAATACTTGTTGCTTATTCAAACCCCCGACTTTCAGAGCCTCAACAGCTTGCTGGAGTCGTTCATAGGGATTAGTGTCCACCTTCTCCTTGTTCTTTTCACTAGCCGCAGCTTGGTGGGAGATTTGGGTTGCTTGATTAGTGCGAAGTCCAACTACTGTTGACATGTCATTGCCGGAGCTTGAGATAGCTTCAGGTTGGCCGAGCTCAATTACAATTCGCCCCAGTAACGGGACCTCCTGCGGTATAAAGTTCCCGGCATACAATGTGGTTGGTGGCGGAGCCGACATTTCGTAGGCTAGATCAGCCACAGATCTCTGAAGATCGCCAATCATTCCCATCAACTCGAAAGTGGTGGGCTCACGGGCTTGAAATAGTTGGGGTTCCCAGATCGGATGTGCGGCAGGTGACCTGGACGAGTGTGGCATGTCAACATCGGTCTCACCCTACATGGTGATTCCCTGGTTTAATGCGACTGCCATAACCACTATTTCGTCTGAATTTAGTGTCATCACGAGTTCGCTGAGCTGATTGGAGGTGATGTTACTGGTGATTGACGGATTAGACGTCTGCCTTGTCCCAGCGAAGAAGAACACCGGCTATTCTGAACTAAGTCTCTGAACCCCCCTGAAAGAGAAGACAAGTAGCATTTCAGCCCAATTTTATCGGAACTGACACAGGCATAGCTGAATGACTATATTCTACTACTGATCACTGTTTTCCAAAATTACTGCCCTAAAAACTGAATCTGATACCCGCAGATAACCGATTCCCAAGATACCGAGCTGGTACCCGCAGGCCTGATACCCAAACTTGTGAACTGATACATGCATTCCTGTAGAGACGCACTTTAAAAGCACATAGCAAGAAAGTGAGAGCCAAAACACCCCTATGTTGGGGTAGGGTTTCCCTGTCCTATTTTGTCAGGAACTAGGGCTTCACTACGCACGCAGCGGTTTCAAACAACCTATGACCGGGTAAGCAACCTGCCCTAGTTTTGGAATGGTCACTATGGATTCCGAATATGCACTAGGTCGAATGGTCAAAAAATGTGCCCCGGTAAAGCCGGGGTTTGTGTTCCCGTCGTAGCAAAGCCCGCAACCGGTCAGCATTACGGCACGCTTCTCGAAGCGAGCCTCCGGCAAACGGTTCAGGAATAGTATACGGCAAACACGGTGTCCTAGGCGCACCAATG